AAATGTGGAACACTGGTAGCTGGCAGTCGATGTAATCAAACGTGATCTCTCCCAGGCCCCACAGGCCTCAAATTAATCTATAGTTGAGTTGCTGGCTCGGCACTTGGAACAAAGGAGGGAAAAAGCGAAAAAAACATCAGTTACTTTAAGGGGTTATATACAGTTGTGATATATGAAAAAATCGATTTTTTTTTTTATTGCATATTCTTTAAGTATATTCTATTGGGAATACTCTCACAAAAATTCATAACGATCGGAGCATTGGAACAGAAGCTGTAGCTATTTATAGCGCACTATCTGCATATAAAACTTGAACAAACTTGAAACTTTAAACGCGATTATCTCAGAATCTTTTTTTTGGGAAATTGCTTTTGCGGTGGACACGATTACTAAAAAACTACTAATCCGATCAACACCAAATTTTGACCACTTATTTATTATGATATTAGCTAGTCCGTGAACGAGGGATTTTCAATTTTTTGAAAACTCCTTTTTTAAAGCACAAAAACGAAAATCTTATACGTTGAAAAGTACATTTTTGTTAAAAACGTCGCCATTTTTTTTTAATCAAAATTTTAAAAATCCCTCGTTCACGGACTAGACAATACAATATACTAACTAAACTTTTTTGAATTTTGGATTTCGGATGAACCGTTTTCGGAAATCATGTCCACCGCAAGACACCATCGAAAAAGACGATCCGGGAATTCGGCTATAACATTTTTGTTATGTAATATTTTTTATGAAAAATTTAATTAGGTACCCGAAACATGTACTAAACAACGTCGGTAAAACATTTTTCATAAATATTTTCTATGGTGTCAAAAACAAATCGATAAAAATCCATATTTTTGCGCGGTACAACTGTATATAACCCCTTAATGAAACACATATGTGTCGGCTTTGAGACACAAAGAGCCAAGAGGGGGTTGCGATCTGAAGCATACAATTTATGATTAATCACAAGATCGATGAGAAAATTATGCTCATGACAAAAGACCCAGTCGAGTCGGGCCAGAAGCGGGCATTAATCTGCATTTTCTAGACCCCATCGCGAGATGACAAAGCGTTTATGGCGCATATAATTATTGGTTGCCGCCAAAAGATCAGATGAAAAACGGAGCCGGAGCCTCAAGTGGCAGGAAATGCTACTTAATTTACCTTTTTTTTGTCTCATTCTTCTGGGGACTATCGAACTCATTCATTCACTCACTGACTCACTCACTCACTCACTTATTCACGATAATGTCTTAAGTATCGGCGACCAAAATGTCATTAATGACAAGTGTCCATAATGACTGGTAAGAGGGTTTGTGAAAAGGCCTTTCAATCCGACTGGGGGGCATGCATAATTTGCTTATAGCTTTGTCCACAATAGAGCTACCTGGCTACTGGTCCAGTCCAAACCATGGGAGACAATTACGAGTTGTGTGATTATGCGATCCGCTCCATTATTAGGCTCGTACAATTCCTCGGGCGGCTCGGATATGGCGGCTCGGTTCAAAACTGACTCTACAATCAATTACCGCAATTATAATATTGATTCGCTGTGGTGTCTACAAGCTCGTTTTGTAACAGAGGCATTGATATCTGTGAGAACGGAAGACTAGGCTCTACAAGCTTTTGATTAATAGTTAATAAATTTTATCACAAAAGCTTCCTATTTAAAGCTAAATTTAATCAATATTCTATCCACCCCAACTATGTACATCTTTAAAAAGAAGTCCTATACTCAAGTATGAGAAATTCCCCTTGAACATTCCTAGCAACTTTGTCTTACATTGACAATGCATTTGAAATTCCTCGAACATATTTCTTTGGTAAGGAAAAATATTTAAGGAACAACCGGCAACTGATCACAAATTGCAATAAGGCAGCCATGAAACAAAAAACAGCGCGATAAATACCAACATGCACAGAGTTGACCATTAATAACTGGTAAGATCGGCAATGCTGCTGCATTGGTAACTATTTTTGTGTTCACAGACGGTGGCTACAAAAAAAAAGTTGGTAATTATAACGCAAAAAGGCCGCGACAAACTCATTTGTCCATAGTGAAAAATTCACATTACAAAAAGGCAAAGGATGGGCATCGCATCGAGCCTCCCGAGATTGACACGGAGTGAAGGCGCAGATTGGCTAAATGCCATTTGAGGCATGGCATGGCCGGGATGGTGGCAAAATTGCCATGACAACAAATCAAGCATCATAATGTGTCAAGCAATGCATCAAGTGGCTGGCCGGCCGACCGAACTGGAACGTCGTCCAGGCGGCACAGCCACTTCGACATCGCTCACGATGACGGCCCCAAACGCATTACAACGTAATTGACGAGAAATGTCAACACGCCGGCGGGGCGGTGGAGCTCGGGAGCTTGGCCCCTTGGTGTCCCAACACCTCGAAAGACTGCAGATCGCTGTTTCGCTGGCCACTTACTTTATTTATCGCAATTACCGATTACAGCTAACTTTATGGCCAGGCAACCAGTTTCTCGTTCAATTGCAATTGCTGTGAATTGTCTTGACGCATTTTTTCTCTCCACCTTTGGTCGGGTGATATTTTATTGCCAACATCGGCTATAGACTGGAGGTGGAGAGTAATACTGACCGAAACTGATCAAAAGTGTCTAATTAAAGAATAGTAAGAATTATTTAAAAAATTCTGGAGTGTCTTGCTTGATTTTTAAAAGGACATGGGTTGGCTATAAATCTATAAATACTTTTTTCAAGCTTATACTCCATGTTCTTTAAGGATAGTTTTTTTTATTTAAGAAAAATATATTTACATTTATGCTGCCAATTAGGGCCATAATGTCTGCATTGCAATCAGCCACAAAACCTTATTATTGCTTCCATATCTTGCCTTTCTTGGATGACCCTAGAATGTCATAGCTTCTGTCAGTTTTCCAAAAACCGCGATATCCCTTATCCGCTTCGGTATCGCATCGGCTTATGTTTCGCTCGGCCAGTGACAGCTGATGGGGTCCTGTCAAAGGAAGATCTGTCAACAAGCCTTCAACATTGTCGTTTTCAATTTTCGGCAGGACGTCTCGCCAGAGCTAAATGTCAACGGAGGATATTTATGGATGAGATGGTGTGCTGGGGGAAAAATTATCGAGGCATTTCGATCGTATTTCTTAAGCTCGTTATGTTGCAATGTCCTGCGATGCGTTTGATCCAGTGGAAACGAATTCAGTATGCGTTCCTATAATGAGTTGCAACCAGTTGAGGTTGATGTTAAAGTTGTCCCTTTGGATTCCTGTGTTCCTTCCTTCCTCGGTTCCTGCTCCTGCTGCTGTTGATTATCCCTTGACAGGGCATCAACTGCGAAAACGACCGCCCAATTTACATACAATGCACATCAATCGAATGGCAACGGCAGCAACATCAAGTACTGCTGCTGCTGCTGCGGCTACTGTCACTGTCAGTGCCATTTACCCTTCCACTTCAACTCCAACTCGTACTCTTACTGGGCACCTTTGTGGCATCATCGGTTTTCCCCCACGTTTTTTTTTTTTGTAATTTTTGTTTTTGGTTTTCCTTTCTTTCTGGTTTGGATGCCTTTTTGCCAGGGTCCTCCTCCGTGGCAGTCTTTTGGGTCCGGCAATCAAGCGTACTTGTTGTCCGACTCCCGGCCCGGCCCTGCCCGGCCAGCAGACCAACAACTTTAGCGGCCATGACACAAAGATTGACAGCATGTCGTCGCTGTTTGGAAGCCTGATTGACATGAGGAATCAAGCAGCCGAAATGTGCCCACAAAACGCAGCCAGCAATGACACTGACAACGAAACCAGCGAACCGAACAACGATGGTTGCGTTGCCTTTCGTTTGCGTTGCCCCTTTGACTGACAACGCAACTGGCAACTTGCAACCAGCAACTAGCAACAGCAACTGCATCGGCAACATGGCCAGTCTGCCGCATGGACAGGCCTTTGCCAAAGGGCAATTTCGATGATGAAACGAAAGGATTTCAAAGTTGGGGCCCAAAATGGGAGAACCACTTCAAAATGCATAATCCAATGTTCCGTAATAAGAATCAATTAGAGAGGAGTTTGTCCTCAAACCTGATCTGTATAGACGTGGGAAAGATTCTTGTAATGCCATTATAATACAGCAATATTAATTAACCCCTGAGACCTGTCAAGGCCCTCTAACCGATAAAGTTTGAAGAAAATGCCCTATAAAATTTAATATCCTTGCCAATTATCACATTCCAGACTAATTTACGCACAAATGCAAATGATATTAAGCTATAGACCCTCTGGAACTTATCGGAAAGGCTGAAAGCACTTTCAAAAATCCATATCCTTTGCGGATCCCCATTGTCAACTCGAATGCGGCCTTTGATGAAGGCGACACGACGTTGACAGACGGCAGCCGATTGACTACTGACAGGCCGTCCGGGTGGATAACAGAAGCCCCCAGAAAAGAACGATCGGGATCAAGGAGAACGGAGACAAGACAAGAGGCCGAGATCTGGCCAAAATAAAGAACGGGTCGGGGAGGACTGCGAAGAACTGCAATTCTGATGACTTTTTGTCAGGCCTGATTGACGTCAACGACTCAACGACGTTTGTCAGGCATATAAATCTTTTGGCTCGTTTGTTTCTTGGCCATCCCCACATATCCGAATCCGAATCCCAATCCCAATTCCAATTCCAATCCGAGTCCAAAGCCGGAGGATTATAATGCCCGACAACGACAGCGATGCGATGCATAAACAATGCCACTTTAAATTGGCAATTGCGGCGACAGTAAATTTTACAATGAATTACTACACTGGCATTCTTTTTTTTTAGCCATTTCCGAAAGTACAGAAAACTAAAGGGGATTGTGAGCCATAATTGCAGGTTTCTGCGGCGAAAGTCTGGCCTGAACTTGAACTGCAATCCGGGGCGTAACTAAAGACCGATTTACTAATTTTTTTGAAAGTCCTAAGGCCTACTAGGTAATAGGTTTAGCTATAAAAGCGCCGGGTTAAAGTTGAATTAGCACAGTTCACTTTGCTTTGGTGATTGGACAACAGTAGTCGAGCTTAGGTCAACTCATAAACAAGCCAAGTACCATGGCCATAAAGGTGTTTACTAGCTGGCCATAAAAAAAGAACCAATCCTTAAAAAATCATTTTCTTTTCCCAGTTTCTCGTAGTATTTGCCCTGCTGGCAGTGGCTGCCACTCGGGCAGCTCCCTTCCATGGCCACGAACACCACGGCCATGGAGGTGCCACCAGCCACGCCTCCGTCCATCTGACATCCCACGACGATCATCACGAGGAACACCACCACGGTCACCATGGTCATGAGCATGGACACGATCACCATGACTCACACGCCGAATACGACTTCAACTACGGCGTTAAGGATCACAAGACCGGGGATGTCAAGGCGCAGAGCGAATCACGACATGGCCATAAGGTTACAGGACACTATGAGTTGATCGACGCCGATGGCCACAAGAGGACTGTCCACTACACTGCCGACAAGCACAAGGGTTTCGAGGCCCATGTCCACAGGGAGAAGCTGCACGGACACCATCAGGCGGAGCACCACGGACACGGTCACAGTGGCTACGAAGGCGGTCATGTTGAGTTTGAGGAGCACTCCTCTGGCTCGCACTCCGGTCACGAGTACGGACACGGACACGAGCACGGCCACGGACACGGACATGGTCACAGCTCCCACAGCTACTCCCTGAAGCAGGATCATGGACATGGACACAGCCACGGACACGACCACGGCTTCGAACACGGACATGGCTATCACTAATCTGATCTTTAGACTTTTCACATTGTTTTCCTCCTCATAACTCAAGATGAACCAAATATTAATTGTTGTTATACCAAAATAAATTCTGCAAATTAAAATATTGTTGCTTTTTTTTTCATCCCTTTGAAATAATAATTTTTCAATAACCTAAACCAAAAATAAACATCACAATAGAGGTCTGGATTGACAGTAATTTGTGTCACCCAACCAAAAATATGATTTGCAAAAATAATTCATAAAATATTACAACATGAAAACAATGATGATAAATCACAGACGTACAAAGGATCCATAAATTAGACCCAAAGCTATTGATTTTCTATTTCAGGTGCCTGGAAACTTTTATCGTCAATGAACACAGGGATATAGGACATACATATGCCCATATCTAGCGCTTTTTTATGGACGCTTCCTTTTCACTTTAGTGGTGGCAATTGGAAATTTTTGGAGTTGGAAGTCCTTTATTCATCCTCGCATATCCATAAATCAAAATATACGTATCTCTAGCGCTCGTAAGGATGTGTTTGTGTTGGTTGGGGCCCCTACCCTTCCTCCTCCTACTCGGCGCTGACTACAATTTGTTTAACAGACAGGCTCGACGGCACATCCTTGCGTTATCCTGTTGCCCTCGTTTGTTGCTGTATTACAAATGACTGTGGAATATTTATAAGCATCATAAATTTAATTTATGTCGCCGCTGCGCCCGCCGCGTTTATTGTGCGCATAATAAACGCTCCGCAGAAATCCCTTCTCGACCCAACTCGACCCAGAGTCTCGCTCCTTCCTCCCCTGGCATCGAAGTAATTTATTATTTTTATACGTTCCATGTGTTTGTCTGGCACGCACTTTCCACATTATATAATATACGAGATATAGTGCGAAAATTGCAGCGGCTATTACTTATATTTATTACGGTGTTATTTTTTGTCGGATTTTCTCGTTTCGGGCTGCAAATAATGATTTATCGGTGATAGTATGTTTTTATTAATTTTTTTCGAAACTAATTCTTGGATGGTAGATCTTTTAACACAAAAAAAACCTGATTCCATCTTATTTATGGCTGGCATCACACACTCAAGGAAATTATTTGTTTTGCATTTTAATTTCCCATAATTGCGATTCTCCATCAATGGGGTTCGACGTTTAATTAGCCTAAGTGAAGAATTTACATGTCACCTAATCCAATTGAATCATAAATTCCGAGCTCAACGCGCTGCAGCAATATTAAATTGAAATTAATGAAGCTGAGCTTCAAGGGAACGTGAAAACGCTGTTGCCTCAGATCGTAAATTAAGTTGATTACGATTTATTTTAAATGAAATCAAAGCAACAAAAACCCTCAGATATACAAATATATACAAATACGAGGCAAAGTTTTTAGAAAACCGAAAAAACTAACCAAACGCGTTGATTAATTTGCAATGCAAATCGTTTCGTCGAGTGAGTTTTTAGCTCTAAAGGGGACCAAACGTGCATAAAAATAAAGTAAATATATATTTTATGTTTCACTTGTCGTCGTTTAATGCCATAAAAATGGGTATGTGTCTTATTAACTGATGAGGCTGTCGTTTCAAAAAAATACACATATATTCGTATTGAAACCGGTATGGCACCAGCCAATTCAAATCCGAGAGGAGGGCGCCCCCAATTCAACGCCCGTTACCTGACTTGGACTTGGGGTATGGTGTCATTAATTTTGGAATCGTAAAGCCCACAATATGTCAAATGAGACCACACAGCGTCGTAAAATTCAAAGTTTATGGCTCTGCCTCTGATTCGGTATACTATACCTGGGTTTCTGCTGACTTTTTTTTAAAGCCAACTTGCTTTGATTTTGGTTTCGGTTTGAGCTTTGAATTTGTTATCAAAAGTGTCGCGTCGCTTTTAATGGCTTTTGCTTTAGGTGGCTGTTGCTTGTTGCGTGTTTCGGTTTTTTAAACGCTTGCCAGAAAATTAAGCGTAACTTATTTGTCAAGTTTCTGCTCGTTTTTGAGATTTTTGGTTAGCAAATGGTTTTTTTTTGGGGAAAAACATAAATTAAGTTAAAAGATTTTGGAGAAATTTCTTATGCTTTGATAGCTCTCCTTTTGATGGTCATATGTTTTATTTTATTCACATCCCAAACTTTATAGAATTTATTTATTTTATTTGCTTTGAAATAAAAAATAAATAAATTTAATAATAAATGGATTTTTTTGTTGTCCCCCGGAGCAGACACAGTTGTATTTTATTGACATGCATTTGGCCATTGCATTGCTTGTTTTTATACACACATTTGCGAAATATCAATAAATGTTTTGCTAACTACACCACAGAGTGATTATTTAAGCCGAACGGCTACTGCGGCAGTCAGATTGTAACAGATGCCCCATGGCATCCATAATAATGTTAAATGCTTTATAATAACCATAAATGTTTGAAATGTATGTGCCAAATGGCTTTTGGTGGCACATCCAGCCGCACACACAGAAGTCCAGTCCGGGCTAGACCGGTGCCAGTACGGTACGGTTCGGGCCACAATCCACAACCAGTTCAAATCCAGCTGCGACTCTCGACAGCCGGCACAGTGAGAGGTCCGTGGAAGTTTTTGCCATGGAAATTGTTTATGAACATTGCCGGGGGAGTGAGTGTGGGGAGTGTGCGTGTGCTTGGGTGTATTACTGAGTTTAACTGATTTTTAATGGGCCGCGACGAGGATGGTGGGCGTTTTGGCGAGATAGACAGAGGGGTCGACATATAACGCCATTTGGTATTAGCCAATTTGTGGCAGTTTATTGGTGGAAAACGTTTTGGCATGATTGGCTGCTAGCTACTGTTTAATAAACTCATTGATTTATGACTAATTAAATTTGTTGGCTATATTAATTTATGCCATTTTTGCCATGGCGGCACATGCGCAACCAAATCAATTTCCCACTGGGTCAATGCTACAGTTATCCATTGCAGACCGAAAAATAAGCTTCAACTAACTGAGCCAACTGACTGAATATCGATGATTAATGATCAGCGAATTGGGTTGACGGGTAAATGGAATTTTTCTTTATTTTACCGAGGAGCTGACCATGAAAATTGAGAACCCGCAACGCCCCAAACTGTCAGTTATACATCACGATTGATGGATGTGCTCCGGTGCTTCGTTGGAGAGTAGAAGCTACCATCCACTCATCGTCATTGTCGGTAACCATTATCCGCAGCGCTAGCCTCGGGTATCCCCTCTATATATACAGGCATGGATAATATACAATATGCGGTATATAAATCGTGCAAAATGATCTTCAGTTCACCCCTTCGTCTGGGGTGTTACCAACACATAACCCCACTGTTTTGGGCCGCCTTTGCTTATCCGAAATTGTAATCAACTTAATAATAGGCTCTGCGCACCTTAATGCTGATTATGGGTTTTGTTTTGGCTCTCGATGGGGTTAGGGAGATTGAATGTTGTGGCTGCTGGCACACATACGCACTGCAATTACTCAGGGTTGCCTAACGGGCGAATTTGTGGAGCACTTTACTTTCGCTGCAATGTGCCAGTTGATGTGGTCCATGTTGCAAGGTTTTTTCTTCAGACTCCTAGGATGGCAAACTATCTACAAGTTATTTTTGACCTTTATATTCTTTTTTTTTAATGGCGTTATGTCGTTATACAATATATCAATAAAATCCTTCAAGTTTTATTGTTTAGAGATTAAGGGATCCTAAACAAAAAACTTTAGTTACTATAATAAACAATTTTTTTGTATGTTGCAATATTGAATATCTATTTCGCCGTATTTCGTTTTTTATGTATCGTGAGCTTTATGCGGCTATCAAAATTAATTTCCAATATGATTGATATGTTTTGCAGACACAAGAAACCGCTTTCAAAGCTAAAACGACTCTGTCCAGCGGACAATAATAAATCATTGAGACAAAAACGTGAACACGCGGCACACATTAGTCAAAGAGGGCAAAGGCAAAGGCAGCCGAATCGAGCTGTTGGCCAAAACGCATAAACATTTTACAGCGCAAACAATTAACTAAAAATAACATAAAAGAGTAGGCAGCGGCGATCCCCAAGACATGGGGCTAACTTGAAAATCTTGAAAACGAAAAAAATGATTAATGAACGTCACAATGGCAGTTTTGGGAAAGTTACATAAATTAACACATGTCTTTACCATAATGAGTCAACAGCCATTTGGCCAAGAGTAGAGAGCCAGCCAAGGCAGTGTCCAGACAGACAGGGCCCGTGGCACTCAAATCAGTTTATTATAATTAATGTGTCTGCTGATTATGGCATTTGGGTTTTTTTCTTACATCCATAGACAGTAAATATCATTCTAAATCAATTATGTGAAATAATCAATGATTTCATGAACATTAAAATTCGATTAAGAACAATATGAAGTAATACCTTTAAAAAAAATCAAAAAATATAATGATTGATAGAGATTTCTGAAGATTTTATACACAAAATTTAAAAGATTTTCATGATCAATTAGTGATATTCCGAATATTTGTAAAATCAATAATTGAATTCAACCAAAGCCACAGTTTTTTTTTTAGGATTTTTTTTGCCATGTCTGCGGACATTAAAATGAACAAACCGGGAGGCAAAAAATAAGGGCAACTTTCTGGCTCTGACAGGAGCCGCCAGGACAACGCCAGACAGGACACACTCATAATTGTTGTGTTTGTTTTTAACGGAAAACAAAAGAAGCAGCCACATCGGCCACAGCCAGTTGCAAGTTCATTCAAATGGTTGAGGTTCGGTTGAGGGCCAACTCCGAGTGCGGCAATAAAAAAGTGTGTGTGGCGGCGTATGTGGCCCCAGGACACACAGAAAAAAAACACACACACACGCAGATAGAAAGGGCAGGGATGGCCTGCAGGGAGGAGTAAGGGGACCCAGTTCAGACCCAGTCAGACACTAATTCGATCTGATAATCATGGAGTCCCGCCAAAGGGCATGAATTGTAATTTCCTTTTTCGCGGAATTAACTGTCGTTCCCTGTCGTTTGGTCGGTTGACTTTGTTGTTACCATTTTTGCAATATTTTTTTTTTTTTAGCTTTTATTTTGGTTCTGCTTTATATTTTGCTTTTGAGATATTTTTTTCGGGACTGTTCTTTTTTTTTTTTCTTTGGAGGCATCACACTGGCTAACCATTGTTGGCTGGTATTTATGTGTCATATTTATTTATTTAAGGCACTGCGATTTTGTTTTCACTGTTGCCGGTCTCGTGTCTCTTTGCATTTGAATCATGTGAACTGCAGGATTTTATGTCCTTTGATGTCACAGGGTATTACGGTTGGGAAATAATTAGAAAATTAAAGGGGAGAAGTAACAAACTTAGGTGGTTTGGGATTTTTTAAGATCTGAGATCTATTACCAACAAACATCCGTAAAAAACATCAAAAACGCAGAACGGAACTTTGCCCCCAAAGGCAAATACAACACAAATACACATCCTTGTTTATTTTTTTTTTCTAGAATAGAGGATATATGTATGTATATATAGAGGAATGTATGTATATTTGCGGGACTGATGGAACAACAAAAATTTTCGCAAACGGAGGGTAAAAATAAAATCAGCATTTTTAGTAGTTAATTTAATTTATTGCAGCGTTTTTATGGTTGACTTTATTGCATAATAAAACATAATTTACTGCGCCATTGAGACTTTTTGCGTTTGCGTTTGCGTTTGCGTTTGCGTCGATGATTCTAAAGCGCAGCCATCGACCATGGCCCACAGCCGAGGGTTGTGGTGAAAGGAGGCACAGCCGGCAGGCTGTGGGGCAGGCAGAGAATGTGGTGGCTGTTACTGCCAAATTGGGCGAGACAAAGACGCTGCCAAATGAAGGGGAAAGGCCCAGTCCCGCCACAGTGAGATACACGGGAGGTGGAAATCTTCAGACGGAATGCGATTTCGTATTTTGTTTACGTTGCCTCAAAATGTGGCAAGGAAACCCCGTCAGAGATACAGGCAAACGTTTAGATTTGCATTGAAAGTGTGTAGTAAATCTCGGAAGGAAATGAAGAATTTTCTAAAGACTTTAGCATCTTAAGACTTTCAAAAAAATCGATATATATGTCATGTTCTCCCTGAACTAGTCGTTAGATTTAATCACCAATTAACAAAATAGGAAAGCGCTCTGGACCTACCACAACTTAACCGATTTCCACCCGCTGGGCAGGACACAAACATTCCATCAGGCAGTCATTGACATATATCATGGACTCCAATTGAGTCCTAGACCTGGCCCCTGGCCCTGTATAAAAGCCTCAATGAGTCCTGCCAGTGCAAACAGTTGAACTCTTGGAGTGGGTCACGATGCATGTCCAGGAATTGTTGTTCGTTGCCGTGGTTCTGATGCCCCAGTGCCTGAGGGCCCTACGATATAGTCAGGGCACTGGCGACGAGAACTGCGAAACCCTGAAATCGGAGATCCACCTGATCAAGGAGGAATTCGATGAGCTGGGTCGGATGCAGCGAACCTGCAACGCGGATGTCATAGTCAACAAGTGCGAGGGATTGTGCAACAGTCAGGTGCAGCCTTCGGTTATAACTCCAACGGGGTTTCTGAAAGTAAGTAGATTTAACTATCTTAGGAAAATATATCTTCCTAATGATGAATATATTTTTTTAAAGGAGTGCTATTGCTGCCGCGAAAGCTTCCTCAAAGAAAAGGTCATCACGCTGACCCATTGCTATGATCCGGATGGCACTCGTCTCACCTCACCGGAAATGGGCAGCATGGATATCCGCCTTAGAGAGCCAACCGAATGCAAGTGCTTCAAATGCGGTGATTTTACTCGCTAATATGTATATACTTTGATATACGATATGTATTAGTAAAGATTTCATACTAAATGCAATTAAAGGGATTACAGCTTTTTAGATCCTTGATTAAATTGCATTTTTCATTGAAAGTATAAAAATGCATCCATCAAAACCTTGTTTTTTTTTGAAAAATTCATATTTGTTTTTGCTGTTCTATGCCCAAAGGACAAACATCTGTTTGAAAACAGAGTCGATGTTTGGCTTTGGGGCAACTGACTCGCTGGGTGTATTCATGTAAATTGGTTTTTCAAAAATCATGCAATCGGAATACAAATCCCAGAAATTTCTGACATATCACTAAAGGCCAAAAACAGACGAATAGATCTGTTGTAAAATATGCTCTATACTAACATTCGTTAGCTTTTGGGATTATCCGAATAGCAGCTCACAAATTAACTCATTTACTTGGAAGGCAACCCGTACTGAAAATTGCAACATTTATGTGCGATTCCCGGAGCTTGGCATCTGTGCGGGACATGATACTTAACCACCCGGAAACTCGTCCCGCAAACATAATAATCAAGCGTAAACTGCACTTAAGATGAAAACCGCTTTCTGGTTGTTAATTTTCATCGTTTTTTTCTGTTTTTTTTTATTTGAGTCATGCGAGTGGTGTGCTGAATTGATTAAGGCCCGAGTACCAGGCATCCATCCATCCACATCTATCGAGGCAGAGAGGGGCCAGAGCCAGAGCGGGCCAAACATCGGCTAATTGTAAATTGGAGCGGTTCGGGGCTAAATTATAATTCCATGTTCACAAGCACATTTGCACGCACTGTAATTTACTTAAGCATTTTTCCACCGCTCCCCATATACTTATACAGCTGGGATCTGATCTCTCTTGGCCGGTCCTGTTACCGCCTTTCGTTCGTGTGTGCGAAACTCATAATTTAGTTGACACGCCCATTAACATCAGGCACTCAGGCGATCTTTCAGAACTCGAATCCATCCAAGGTTCACCCCTGCCATCCCAGGGAGCAGGGGGCTCTGGGTGGCATCGCGCGTCCATCAACAGCAACGTGCCGACACAATATAAATTATATATTTATATATATAACATACATTGGACCATTCCAGGCACTCCATTGCACTCCACTCCACTCCATCCGGGATGGAGTCACGTAGAGCAAAACACAAACTACCGGAGATCAGATGATCGTTGAATACTTTTAACATTTCATTAGGGTAATCAAATTATACAGTCTCTAAACGAACGGGTTTCCAAAAGCAATTACGCGGCACTTGCAACTCTTGAATAACTCACTTAGTTAGTTCTGATTTTATTGAGGATATTTTTGATTGATTTAAAGATCTAACTCACTAGGGATCGCCATATCACAGGCATTGTTTACAGGCTTGTAAAGCAAGTGCACACTTTCATTTTAATATTTATTTTAATTATTAAAAGTTTGAATTTCAAGCCTTAAACACTCTTATTAATGTTATTCGAGTTTTTGGCACAAATCGAATGCAAGCATCGTGTTAAATAAATTGCTGAATACTGATAAGTTATAAATTAAACACAAGCCACAAAAAGCAGCCAACGTCAAGTGGCCATATTCTTCCGAGTCACTTTGATGATAATTAATGAATGTTAATTAATAACAAATTTGAAACTCACAACAGCTCTGAAAAATAAAAACAAAAAATGGGGACAAAAAATTATAAGCATTTACCGAATGCTACTTTATTGTTTTTGTGGCCGGGACTGCCGCTGGTTATCGCTTATACAATATCTAACATACTTTTTGTGTTAAAATGCGTTAATATTGCCAATTAATTTTCATCATTTGGGATTCTTTATTTTGTGTCCGTTTCTCGGCGTTGATTTGCATGAATTTGCAATTAATTTGATATGTTTGTCATTCGGTGAAATATATTTCTGTTTGTTTTTAATGAAAGCTCAAGGCGAAATGTAAACAGCCAGGTCTGTCTTTGTTTGGACGGAAAAATGCTTTTAGTGGCAAGACGGTGTTGTACTACCGCTCCCCTCGAGCCAAGATCTGCCCACATTAATGGCCAGAAAGACAAGAAGGCGTGACATCATTGATTGCCTTTATCTCCGAAGCTATTTTTCTGGCTCTTTCAGATTTCTTTGATTGGCCATAGCTTTTGTATTGCTTTCTGATTGAAATTTATGTTGTGTTTATTATAACCATAGTTTAGTCTAATGCTATTAGTAGTCTCCAAACAATAGAAAATAATAGAATGCAAAATAAAGTTATGGATTTGGCGCAGCCCATAACTTATATGATTAGCTAAGATTTAATATAAAATAGACAAGAGGAAAGCATGTTTTTCCAAATGAACTTTTAGCCACATTAGTCGGAAAGGGTATTCAGGAAACAACACATCACCGGAGCATCCTTGGAAAAATCCGCATATATCATATTTCAGTTAGAAAAGGCAAAATTGCGGAATGCTGAGTGCCGAGTGCAGAGGGTCACCTGTCAGAGAGTAAAAGCGCAACGAAGCGCAAAGCGTTTTTGCATTTTGCATTAAATTTATGATTTTTACAGCTGACATTTGTTTTCGGGCGCCTTCTCCTCCTGGCAGCACCGAGTGCACTCGTGAGTGCGAATATGAATGTGTGTCTGAGGCAGCAGTTGCATGTGCGTAGGGCAGAACACATAACAAGCCACCAGCAACAACAGTACCAGCCTCTGAAGCAACATATATATACATATAATAGAAGCTGTAACTGAAGTCGAAACGAATTTAGAAGTACCTATTATAAAAATATGAAAAGTTTTTGAATTAAAATAAATCTTAAATCAAATTTTATAAATACCACAAGTTTAAGCTTAAATCTTTTTAATTTTATTTGCAACAAAACCTTGTCAGTCTTAAAGCCCTTTCTATAGAGCATTGCAACAGCTGCAGCAGTAGCAGCTGTCATAAGATAAAAATTTGCCCGCGCCTGCATATTGCATATGCAACTGCAACCCATTGCCCATGCAGGAGACGAGTGAGGTGGTTGTGGGCAGGCAACATGCAACATATTCTAATGCGTTGCGACATCAAGTGACAGCAACGGCGACAGTTGCTGTTGCCGCATGAGAGGCGGCGACAGGCGACAGCAGCAACAGCAGCAGCAGCAGCAACAGGAGCAGGAGTTGAACAAAAGCAAGAAGCAAAAAAAAAAAGCTTATGAAAAGTGAGCTGCATTTTCTGTTGCATGCAAATGAACTGCAATTATGATAAACGCCAGCAGTTGACCGGATGTGAGCAACTAAAGGAAAACTGGCCCAAGACCGGGAACTCTCTCGGATGACAATTATGTGGGCAATTATGAAAATGGATAATAAACATGAACTGCTGAAACATAACAAAAAAGACTTAATGATAGTAGAAGAAGAATAACTTAGAAAAAATATCAATTTCACAAAAAAAATCAACTCACTTCCCTGACTTGAGAAGTGAAATTTAAAAACTTGCTGCTAGAAAGTAAAATTAAATTGAAACTAACATATGTTGCCTGCTTGGCCTATGGCATTTGGATTTTTTCTCATTTTTCATAGCGTTTTTGCACCATCTTGCCACATACAGACACACACACACACCCTCTGGCACACTCGCACACTCGCTTATGCATGAGAAAAGCGAAGCTCCTTTGGCACATTACTCATACGCCCCAGTGGGCAAATTTATGAACTTGCCGGCGCACTTGAGGCCACGACAAACGAGCAGGAAAAAATGGCATAAAACCAACAAACACACACACTCTAAGTGCGTTTGTGTGTTTATTGGAGAGTAGCAGCATAAGTATGAGGAGAAGGGGAAAGTAAAGCAGCTTGTAAAATATGCCAAGGGTTAAAAAGTGTGCAGCATATAATTCATACAACACGAAAGTCGCCTGGTAAAAATGGCCAAAGGGTAAAAAGATGAAAAGAGTCGAGGGGAAAAGTCACAGATAGAGGAAAGGGAAAGCTCAACTGCAATAAAAGAAAACTATATAGAACCTAGAATAGTAGCATCGAAGGTGTTCTTTAAAAGGTACAAAATAAATAAAGATTATAAAAATTAAATTGAAACTTAGATTATATATTATTTTAAAGAAATTCCTAATATTTTTAGAAGCAATCCATTGGTAACCGATTTGACCCCGAGACACCCCGCAACTAACAAGCACTCAACCACTTTGGTGAGCATTTTGTGCCACTAAAAGGGCTTTTCCGGTCACATGTGCTGTGTCCTTTCAGCCACCCTCCCCCTACCACAATTCTCTCTGAGCCGCATAAATGAACTGCTAAAATGCTAACAAAAGCCCGAAACGGAAACGACCCCCGCTTCAAACAGCACGCACCCCCTACTTATTTGTCTGTGGGGGATATTCGGATGGGCGCGGCAGACAAAACACAAAAATACAAAAAAAAATATATATATAATAAAAGGATATGGACAAAACGGGGTCCTCTATTATATTTGGGTTTTGTGTCTGTGTTTGTTTTCGTTTGTTTTTGCGGTTTGTAATGCGTTGTGGCCACAAAATACTGTTAGCCACTTAATTTTGTGGTTAACCCCGAAAGCGAGAAGTAGATACGCTTTTTGTGTGGTTAATTGAAACTTGATTGTTTTGTGTTAAACCAGAAATGAGTCTATTAGGTCCAAAAATGAAACTAAAATAATATTGTGAAACAAAAGGAAGCAATAAAACGTTTGACTTCGTCCCCCATTAAAATGGCATCTAAATAAACATTTTATGGTTTTTGAAAGGCGAAACTTTCAAAAGCGTCTTAATGAACATGACAAATACTACAATGGACTGGTGGGGGCATTTTATGAGAGCATCACCAAAAATGTTCAGAAAGAAGGCGTGGGGCACCTCCACCAGCAGCAGCAGCAGCAGCACAGACAGCTGTCAATATATGGCCGGAATATGTAAATTATTGATTGTTAATTCAAAGCGCCACGATTAGTATAATTGTGTGTTTCTCTTTCAAATCCTAAACATTTTAGTGCCATAAAGCTGGAGCAAGATTTCGTCGGTTGAATATTTAACCAATTGCGTGGATCGTCTTTTGTTTTTACGATCATTTTTAGTTTTAACGATGCTGCGACCTGAATAGAGCTATTTACCTGGAGGTTATTACTTTTATATTTGATGTCTCAAATGGCTTTCGGGTAGGTGTTGTATTTCAGACATTATTTTGCATATTTATTTAAGCGGCGAAACAAAATAGGCATAATCAGGGATTAATAAGATTATATCATCAAGGTATGCAGAAAGGGTAGAACCTAATTCTTAATATAGTTAATTAATTGGAATTCCCAGCCCACAAATTATAGCTTCTCCATCGTGTTTCTTTGCTTATTTTTTTTACAGAAAATGTAAAATATTTGGTAAACAGATATTGCAAATGGAATCTTTCCCACCAGCTGTTATTTGTTTACAGCAGGAAGTGCTCTCTTTGAAAAAGGAAATTCCGTGAGCTAGGTCCTCACATCTCGCTCTCTCACCACACATCGACTCGGTCCGAGGCTCTCTGGCGGTGCTCTAAATCATATTTGCTCGGCATATAGCTTTTAACACATCCCCCACCCCATTTTGCACCACTTACCACCACACACACGCACACACCGACAGGCGCCTCACGCCCACCTGCCTCGTAAACAATTATGGCCGACGCCGTTACGCTCTCCACTCACACACACACTCGCAAACACAAATATAGGAATAAATTCCCCACGAAATACTGTGAAGCAGCAACAAAAAATTACCCAAAATGGCTACACAGAAGCGTCGATCGTCCAATGAGCGTTGTCGGTGTTGCCAGCTTTGAATGTGAGTATCTGTGTATATCAGTTTTATTTTATTTTTTAAGTTTTTTTTTAAAACTTAATATCGCAGTTAAGATCTCTGCCTATCTAGACGTATACGTGATATTATTTTCCATGCCATGAAAATATTTCAACATGTCGTATACGTAATATTATTAAAATCATCATCAGAGTATGCCTAACTAGGCGTATACGTAATTTTTTTCAAAAACCATTTTAATCTTTCAAATATTACAAAAAAATGTCCTTAATCCAAATGTTACGTAGTTTTCATAAGGAAACACTACTATTTCTTCTTTCTACTACTATTTCTACTACGCTTTTCATACTCCACTTTATCCAAAAATTGTTGCCTCAACAAAAGACATGCGCGCTCAGCAAAGAGTGTGGCACTTAAAACTTGTTCTCTCAGCTCACCGGCGGCAGAGACTGGCAAAGCTCTCTCGCTCCCATGCCACAACAGTGTTTTCTGCTCTCCGGCGAGGGGGCGCATGGCTGTTTGGGGCTCGCTCGGCCTCGGCCAACAACAAAAGCACACTTGTTGAAAACGAAAACGGCCCCCAGAAAGAGTGAACTGGTTTTAGTGTGAGCGCCGAGGCGAAACTACTGAGCGAGCGTGCACGTTGTTTATAGATTTTTAGTCGAATTTCGTTATTTCACGTTTAAAGTACGTACGTGCGGATACGGATACGGATACGGATGAGTGTTGCGAGTGCGTAATATCGGCAATCGAAATAAGCGTGTGCCGCGTGGAAATACGTATATCCCAACATAAATAAATCAAAAATCTGTTTATTTTTTAAAACGTCATTCAGTGATATTTGTTCGCTAAACGGTGCTTTATCAAAGTTAGACTGAGTTTAAAACAAAACAAGAAATAATTTTAAATTAAATAAAAAAAATTGTGTAATATAAGGGATATTTTGGATAGTCCCCCTTAAAGCCAAGTCCTAATCCATTTCCGGAAACATCTGTCAGGCGAATCGAATCCATATACCAGTACATATATCATACACGTACGTGCCTCATCATAAAACGCGCCCTCATCGAGGCATTCAAGCGAAACCACAAACCAAAAACGGCCAAGCCAAAGAAATAAAATACGTACACAAAAAAAAAAATAAATATAAAATAAATCAACAAGATATCTATACACAAGAAAAGAAAGTAATTCCATCAGTCAAATGTGTAAATTCTGCTTATATATTCCGTGTATTTCGTATATCCCAATAAAAGAAACCAAATAATAGCCATTATAATGTGCAAAATATACAGACTCGAATTCGCGAAACAAAAATAAATATTAAATCCAGCTGGGGCAGTTAAAATACTTAATGAATTTATTGCACAATTAAAGCGAAGCCAACTAATAACAGCAACAAATTAATATGCCGCTGGCGTGAAAGTCACAACTCGACGCATGAAAAATTCCCCCCTCATTGAATAATAAATGAAATCAAATTACAAACAAAGCCCGGCCAGCAATAACGATTGCAAATTGAGAAAAAAATAAAAGAATAAATAATAAATAATAATAATCATAAATAAGTACACATCAACAGCAAGAGACGCGAACGTGGACGGCTTAATCAGCGAAAAGTCAGCGGAGCGAGCTTAGGCGGTTGGAAAATATTGCAGGCCAGGCGCAGGCGCAGGCGCCGCTTTTCACACGAGTTGGCAGCACACGCCACATAAATTGGCATTTACCGTTAAGCGCGTTCAGGCCAACAATAATACCAACCAACCAACAACAACAACCGAAACAACAACTCAACACCTCCACCGAATCACCAAAGAAAAGCCGTCAAAGTGGATTTAACAAATTATAATAAAATGCTGCAATCCAGCAATCATCATTATTTAAGGCCGGATTATATGACAGCCGCAGCAGCCCCAACAGCGGTAAGCTCATCGTTTTCTCTCTTGTTTTTTAAGCGTTTTTTTTTGGGTAATCGAAAATTTATTATTAAATAAATCGTGCTTTATCGATTTGTTTTGATTTGGGTTTCAGAGAGGTTTCATTTTTTAAAACTGGCTTAAAACAGGGAGTTTTGGGAAGAATTATGCTTAAGAAACATAATATATATAACAAGCCATTATAATCAAAGCTTGGCAATTATAAGTCCTTAAAAAAAACCATTTAATATATCCCCAATTATTTCTTAAGATTAAAAGTCCAAGCTCCTATAAAAAACTATCGACATTTCAGACATCTATAATGAATTGTCGAGCCATATTTCATAAATAATAAAAATGTCTACTCTGAAGCACCAGCCAAAGGCGATTTGTGTGCAAAACTCCCTCAACACTGCCCTCATCCACCTCCTCTGGTAGTACCAAACTTTTCGAGACTCTGGGCCATGTGCTTACTGAACTGTTTTGGCGAAGGAGCAGCGGGTATATATAGTATGGTGAATAGCGAATTCGCAATCGTAGAACAATAAATTTCCCAATATCTGCACATAAAACTTATTTATGTTTGTTCATATTAAACTATGTAAATCCGCAGCCGGAGCTCTGGAAACCGACTGGAAGTGTTTAGAGAGTCGAGTGCACCTCTGGAAACTGTATTCAAATTTATGGCGCGCCAAATTTGAATTTATAATGACAGAAAACAAATGCAATTTCGCACAACCTCACAGATACACCGAACTCTCGGATGTGCTGCAGTACGATGGTGTGAATGCGAAGAGCTCTGGCAGTTAATCAGAGTCAAACTTGTTGTGGTCCCCATACCTCTTTCTAGTCTAGTATATAGAGTCCATACCCCCGACCCAAACTATCTCTCTTCGAACTGCCGTGAGACTCATAAATTTTCATTTTAATTTGTTGAGCGCATTTTGTTCATAAAGAACGGAAGCAGTTTATGGCACTAGCACGATGAGTACATTCATTAACTGGGTAATTTGAAATAGCGTTTTCGGGGCTTACGTGATTTAGTGTTGAGGGGAACTTTAGCGATTTCCATATTGGTCGTGTGAGAGCTTTTCAGCGGCGAAAATGAGGCAAGTGTCGTAAATCATCGGATCGTATCTCGATACACATGGCACATGATAAACTGGTTCCGGTGCCGCCAAGACACTAACAGATTCTATAAGTAATAACATCCATTATCAAGAAAGAGAACACCTTGTTTACTTGAAAATTTTCCAAATTTTAATTTATGATTAGCCTCCCACACTTTGAAAACTTAAGGCTTTCGTGTCATAATTTATTTATTTTGGGATTTTAAATTGATCTGCCGATATGTTAAATAAATTTTCGTTCGTATGCGTGCCAGCCAGTGACTGACTAACCTTTTTTTCTGAATTATCTCAGATAGTATCTGGGAATGTATAAATTATTCAATGATTAATGGCATCTGCTTATAATTAATTATAATAAAATCAAATAAACTAAGGCTGACAGCTGTCAGTGTCATCATTTGTATGTCTTTTATGTGGCGCCCGAGACCATAACATAGATACATCTACACAGATACAGATACTCAAGGTATAAGGAGTGAAAAAGAAAGATTTCTGAAATGACTGTTGATAATTTGCTGTCACATGCTGAAAAATGACAAAAAGTTTTTGGACGAAAAAGGAAACGGCGTCGCAAAATGGAAATAAATTCGAGTTGAGCTATCTGTTGGGCAATAACTCAAAATCTGAAATCTGAACGTGAAAGTCAGTTTCGGTTCGGCTTGGCTCAACAGCTCCGACATGAGCTCAAGTCCAGTCAGTTAAACTGACAGACTGAGCAGCGAAAAATAAAAAGGTAAATAAAGTGCAAATGTCAGCTGACCGCAAACATCATTAATATAATTAAATGTGTCAGTCAAGCAGCCATTTATGCAGTCGGACATTCATTTCAGTTAACCACACGTTGCCATCAGTTTCAGCCACCAAATAACACAAAGGCAACAGCAACAGCAACAACATGAAGCTAGCGTGGCTCTCTGGCAGTTAAAGTGTGCGCTTGACATAACGGCTCTGTCTCAGGCTTCTCCCCTTTTGCCAATTTCCCCTGGCCGACCTCTTTGGGCCATTCTTTCGCTGCCTGGGTAGTATGGTTGTCTGGCTGTATGGTTGTCGGCTTTGTGTTTGCGTGTGGCTCTAATTAAAGTGTCATCAGCAGCAAAAGCAGCAGAAGCAGAAACGCCAGGCAACAAACAACATCGAGTACTACGAGTATGTTAGTGATAAATTGCCATGTCTAGAGCTGTCGTGTTAATTTTTTCTACTCGCACACAAATAATAGTTTTTTGTCCAAAGTGTTAATTAATTCTTGGAACATTTAAAATATGTGAAACGACGTTGTGAGATGGCTAAGCCGAACTACATGATATTGTACTACCTACCACAGGAATGTTGTGACACTCTAACTTTGGGTTGGGCTTGAAACAGAATCTTTGCCATAGAATCTCCAGCCATAAATCTAATTTCCATAAAATATAAAATTCTTTTATAGTTTGCTTATAAGCCGGTATACGGTTTACCCCTCGGTTGGATTATCTGACAAAGTACTTGGCTTTATGGTGTGATAAGAAAACGATTAAGAACAGACTTAAAAATAAACAGTCACTGGAGCGATATCTACTGCCGTTCATTAGGAAATTTATAGCATTTTATGGTGTGATCATAAATTTAACGATCTAATTTCGTTAATAAGAGACTATAAATATCAAGTAAGAAATAGAAAGAAACCCACCAGACTGCGACCATCTATGTATAATTATTGTTATGGCCTTTTGAGAGCACAATCAAGCGGCATTTATCACTCACTCGCACTGGCCCCATCAATCGCGGCCCAGTCCGGATCACGGACTATGGGCCATAACTATTCATGGCAAATATCTGTTTGAAAAGCGACTGCGACTGCCTGCCTATATACAAATTGAATGAGCGAAACTCAATGAATTCATTTAAATGCACGCGAGGCGGCAACTATGATAATGAATTGCAATCGCCGTTTAAACCGCAAAATAATAACCCGTTTTTTAGCCGACTCTCTGTTTTTTTTTTTTATAGAGTAAAGTCGCGACATTACAAATTATGGCCTGAGATAATCGATTTTGTGGCAGGGGGATGTGGAGGACGGGGTTATAAAACAGTCAAACTCAATAATCATAAAATGCCGCAACAAATTAACCCATAAATTCATATAGAAGTAATCAAATTAATGTTCCAGCTGATAACTGTCAATTGCAATATCATCATCGTCATTAACAGCATCCCGCAGATGTGACACGAACTGAGTTGAACAATTTAATACAAACGGGTTAAGCTTGTCACAAAGTGGTTTTTTATTAAAAACAAATGCAAATACCTTAATAAGTACAGATTAGAATTTAATAGATTATCTTTAATGAAAAGAAAGTGAGGCTATAGTAGAACTTCTTTCTTGCATTCTGGATTCTTTAAACAACATTTTGTTGCATACTTTGGAGGGCTTTCCAACAAGCCAATAAAAAAATAGGATGAACTGTCTATAACTCCTCTTAAAATAGCACAATTTGTATGAATTTTTTTTTCAAGACACATTCTTTCATATTGAATAGATTTTCATCAAAACTTTTTCAATAACCTTTCTTAAACGGACTTAGGACTATATAGACTGAGATATTGATACTCTACAAGTACCAGGTATAATTATGAAGATAAAATTAGCTCTGTATTGTGAAATAAAGTTATATATGTACACAATCAGGTCACATTGGCCACCTCGTGATAAGGGAATTACCACCAAGTTTGATTTTCCGAAATTGTTTTTAAAGCCAAGGCAGAAAAAGCCCTCTATAATGCCGCCAGCGACCAAAGAACATGCTTGACCATTTCCGCGGCCTTCCAAGTTCCAAGTAATCCAGCAAACATTAAATAGGTTTCAAATGGAATCAATCATTAAGTTGGTTGCTCCGCAACAAGGGGCGTATGAGTGATTGCCATAAAATGGAATATAAATATTAATCAGGAGGCCGACCTGAGCCGCCCAAAGCTCCACCTAATGACTCACAAAAGAGATCATTGGGCATATAGGGCTTTTGGGGCTCAACAAAGCATTTGACACTAAATGCACACAAATTGCTTTCGAAGCCCAACCAGAAATTTAAAAAAGAAGCCACAAAGCCGCACACAAGAACCCATATAGAGGTCTTTCTATGATTGTAGCGGTAGGTAAGTATGTGGGTTTAGGTGGCCAGAAGATAGGAATACTGGTCAAAACGGGCACAGCAAAGGAAATGAAAAGAAACAGACTGAAATGTAATATTGATAAGCTCTCGCAGCGGTCAAATCGGCGCCATTTTTCGGGTCTGAGCCGGCAGCGACAATTTCAATCAAATCAACCTACTGAATGAGGGGAAAAACAAATAAACAATCAATCTCAATCACATCAATTATGCGTTGATACAACTTGGAGGGACCCATCGAAGAGCTCTTATCATCGGTTATTCCGTTGATTTTAGGTGGGCTTTTTCAGGGGACACTTTTTCAGTTGGGTTTTTTATTTATTCTATCGCGATGTTAATCATTTTAATTGGCGCCACTTGAACGAGTTTCTGTTGGTTAATGTATATGTGTGAGTGTCTGATTGGTGTCCATTCATTTTGGGGCATTCATTTGAAAGCGTTTCAAATTACTTTTCGTGTGGCAAGCAAGACACAATTTACAGCCAGAGCACCGAAAGTGAAAGTGGCTGGACGGCCAAAGCACTTTCAACTGATTGCGATAAAGAAATTATGGTCAAGTCGTCACACCAAAGAAACCGAAAAACACCGAAAATTGATCATAAATTATCAGGAAACACCTATCTATCGGTTTATAGACATGAAGCCATTCATAGTCAGTAGCTTTGCTGGTAGATTCGTGTCCCATTTATTTGATATAAAATTTAAAAAAAAAAATGCCAATTGAACCAACAAA